CAAAGAGAAAGAAAAAATTGAAATGGCATCATATGACCCCTTTAAGTTACATCAGACTTCTCAATTTTAGGAGATTAAACGTTTATTTTGTCCTCCAGTTTACTATTGGATAATGTTTAAATAAACCTTGTGGGTTAGATCAGACTGCTCCATTTTGTTTGTATTTATTTTTGTCTTATATTAAGTATCCTGATATACAATGTTATGCGAAAACCCCATTTTAAAGGCATATTAAAATGTTCACTGTATAAGGAATACTTTTTGAGATTATTTATATAACATTACATATGTTATATAAAGCTTGAAGAATCAGAATCGGCATCGGCTGATCACCATGACAAGAAATCTGTAATGGGTATCGGCTGCAAAAATCCTGATCAGAGCATCCCTTCTAGTAAATTTTAAAAGCACATTTGTAGCACATTTTTGACAATTTTAGTTGTGTTCTGGAGCCTTGCAACACAGAAATTCCCTTCAGGATTCCAGAACAAATTCATAGAAACAGCCCTAGAGAAAAATGGAAACAAACCTTCATTGTTTGCCTTCCTGATTCCTGTACTTCCTACAAACAAAAAGCATTTTGTGAATGGTTACTCGCACACAATTTACACAGCGCAAATAAACAGTTGTCACTCCTCTACTGAATGATTAACCACGTTCTGTACACATCCTTCGGTAATTTACATAAGTGCAAAATGCATTTTGTTACTGGATTTACTCTAGGTAGTGGAATTTAGAGACAGAATCTGCATGTGTTAGGACTGAATTAAGAGGAGAATAAAGCAGGCTGTCTAAAAGGCAACAGCTTAATGAGCATAAAACAAAGCTAGCATCTAATATTTCTAGTCCATAGCTGCAAAAACACAACAAATGCTATAGAAGGGGTCTCCAATCCTGCTGCTGGAAAGCTAGTGTCTTGCAGATTTCATCTCCAACCTCAAACATGTGAACCAGCTAGTCAAGGCATTCAAGATTACTTGATAACTACAGGCAGTGTGTTGGAGCAGGGTTGGAAATTAAGTCTGCAGGACAGTAGGGTTTGCTGTGCTATAGGCATTGCTGTCAATGTCAGCCAATGACTATGTATTTGCTTTTGTCTGAAAAAAGGAGTTACAAATGACCATGTACAAAACGGGAGAGTGAACCTGTATGGAAGCTCTTGAATCCTCCATCTGCACCTCTAGAGCTCAGACCTGCAAGTAAAACACAATAGTGCATTTGAAAATTAAGTGTACATTCAAGTCTTTTAAATATGCAGATATTTTGAAAAATTTATATTCAAGCAGGAATTGTGTGTGCTCAAAAATAAAATAAAATAAAAATAAAATAAAAAAGTAAGCGCCAAT